GGAGAGCAGCTAAGAGGAGTTGCTGGGAGGATGAAGCAGGTGAGTGTGGGGAGTGTGGTTCATTCTGACATACCTGACGTTAGTTAAACACATGTAGTGTTTGTATAGGTAAAACAACAAGGCTGGGGTGCGTAGACAGTTTTAGAAAAACTTTCGACCATTCACCTTTGGTTTTAGGTGAAGGGAAGGACTAATAGATGGGACGATAACCTCAGATACCCGGAGGCAGACTATGAGCTATATACCATTATAGAACTATATATCATAGCGCACAGACCTGACATTATTCAAGCCAGTATTATAATGTACTATCCATAAAACAACTGGGAAGGAACAACAGAGGAAAGAAATGAAGATGTTATTCAACGTGGAGCAGACGTGTGTTGTGTGTCTTTATGACACGAGTTTTATGACAGAAGAAAAGAAACAGCTGCTTTTATGAGCAGGAGGTTGTTTATTCCACCACTGGAGACATGGGCTGAGGTCCGGGTGGAGCAATGTGCAATGTGGAGGTAAATCTTTTTTCACACCTGTCATTCGCCTCTGTCAGTGCGCCCCAGGGTGGCTGTGGCTACAATGTAGCTGCCATCACCAATGTGAATGGGTGGATGACTGGATGTGTGAAGCGCTTTGGGGGTCCTTAGGGACTAGTAAGGCGCTATACAAATACAGGCCATTTACCATTTACCATTCGTTTCCCTTTCACCTGCACTTTTCAGTGGATCTGTTGTAAGTAAGGAATAAAAACTTAGCAAATTAAGGAATTTTAACGAGAGTATATAAAAATATTTACAAAGAATATTAAAATAGTTAAAAAAATTAACATGTACATTTTTATGATCTGAGTTAGGTCTTTAACAGTGATAACTATAAGCAACATATTAAAAAATGAATGCGATGATAATAATGATGGTCATAATGATAATGTTTTATGATGTGAATAAACAGCTCACAGTTCAATATGCTAGGCTTCGATATGAGATATTCAAGAAAATCATATGTGAACAAATTCAATCAAAATATTAGTTATGAGCAAATAAATCACTTATGTTGAAGGTCCAAAGGTATTAATAACCATAGTGGCAAACAGTATGAAAAGTCTGAGATAAATAAAGGTGGTCGTCTGGTTTTATATAACTTTGTGTTGACGGGTTAAAAATCCCATCTTTCGCCAACCTTAACCTAATGGCCAGTGTTTGGGGTCAGAGTATTGCGTTTGATACTCCCCTCCATCCACCCCAAGCACCTCCTGCTGACTGCTGTTCATAAATGTGGCTCTTTGTCCAGGAAAAAAAACTGCAGTCAGTCCTTTCTACATTTGCTTCTGTATAATCACTTGGAATCTAATTTACAAGGCAAAATACAAACTTTTCAGCAATCGTGTTTGATACTTAAAAGAGCATTTGATGAATTCATTCATTTGCATATTGTACTTGTGCTGCAGGGCAAGCCCTGAGATTAACTGGGGATTTTTGTTGAGCATGTATGTTCAATAGAGGGAGAAGAAACTGTACTTTTCAGTAATTAAGTGCATACAAAACAAGAACACAGAAAAAAAAGAGAAAAACCCGCCAGAGAGCCATGGGTCAGTGCTGCCAGTATTTGTTTCTAAACAACCGTTTGAAAGCAGCGTAACGGTTCTTTTCTACCTTTGCTGTTTTTTCATGACAGCAGTACATCAGCTGCTTTCTGCTTTGGTGAGCATTGCTTTGGAAGTGGGAGGCATTTGTCTTGAAAGAGATTGTTATCGCAGTACTTCAATTGTTTCTGCAGATATTGGAAATAAGGAAATGCTTGACTTCACAGTTCTTTTCCCTCTCTTTTTTAGTGAAAGAAAAGTGGTGAGGGAGCCCATTATTCAAGCAACACATCTGCAAAGGACAATTCAATTTCCAGGCTTTTGCAATAAATGTCAGAGCAGGAAAACGCTCACAGAAAATTGCTTAATGTGGTTTTGTACTGAAGAGAAGGTGTAGGCGTGTAGCTGTATTATTCATGCTATGGGACTCAGCTCCCACTTAGAGACGGAAGGTCAGAAGCTTAGTCCTAAAATTTTTATTGATAAAATTCTCCAACCTTCTCTCTGAAGAAAGAAAAAGAGATACGCCTAAACTGCATTGCCCATTAACATGTAAAGGAAAATGTATTTCTTCTCATATGAAACTTAACCTGACTGCATAACCAACAAAAATAATCCACGGTCCACATCAGGTAGTGAGTAAGGTTTGGCTGCATGACTAAAAATGCTACTCCATGTGACTTGATGTTTTTTACTTAGTTTGATTGAAGTTCTTTCACTCAAGATCACAGTTTAGGCCAAAATTTACAGATGAATTTTAAAAAAGTGGGGAAAATGGGCGACTAATATTCTTAACTCTTCACAGACATATGAATTATGTCCCATTGTATTTATACATCTCTAGTGTGTACTGGATCTCTTCCAATTCAATAAAAATAGCAGAGCTTTTACACAGGGAATTCACGTAGCATAAACTGGAAAAAAATGATGTGGGATGGAGAACGAAGATGTCATAAACAAACAAATAAACAAACATACATGTCATAAAAACCTAAAAACAAAAATAGCATCCTGCCCGTGTCATTCGTCCTCTGACATGTTTGTTTCAGGCTTGGAAATTGTAGCTCTTTAATTGAACAGTGCTTAGTGGCGGTTGGAGATCAACTCTCTTCAGCTGTGATTTATTACATGAAATTGTTTTCACGCTAAAACAGAAGTTGATGTTTGTGAAAAGGATCGTGGTGAAATCGCAGTACACGGGGTATGTAGTCAGAATGAAACTATGAAGAGTGATGTTGGAGTCAAATTGTTAAATGTTGTCATTGTGTTACTTAAATTTGTAAGTCTTAGTTCAAACAGCATCATCAAAGACATTTCTTTGTTTCTATTACCCTCCCCAGCCTGTTGGCGGGGGAGGCTGTAGTGTTTTATAGGGACACATCACATGTGAGGGTTCTGTTTTCTTGTTTAGTAAATTTCCTGCCCTTATGACCCTTTTGGTGAGCAGGAGGTCACACAAACGCACCCCAAAACACAAACACACACATTCTCGCACAGGCATACACACGTGCGCACACATACACACATGGTACCTTATCTTTTATAACCATGGGGGGGGGTTACAATGGGAGGTGCTTGTGTGTACTGTAACTGTTGTCAATAAAAGGCGGGAAGTGGAGGCCGGGGTCGAGGTCGTCTGTGGTTGGATTCAGAGTGCTTTCCTGAGACACAGACCGGGGCCTCCCTTGCGCAAGTAAAATCGCTGTTCGTCTTGCTTCCTTGTCGTTAACGGGAATAAGTTTCTAAACCAGCGAGGCCTGTGGAAGCGCAGACCCAACAAGTGATCTTAACAACAGAGCCTCGACTGGCTCCTTTCAACACGGAGAAACAGAAGCTCTGCTTCAAGACATGTCCAAGCTCCTCCCCCCTTCTTTTTAAGGCTGAGGGTGAGGATGGAGGAAAATGGAGGAAATTTGCAACGTTTCTCTTTCAGTCAACACCCAGCTCTCACGGCCGTAGGCCAAGGTGGGGATGTAGATGGACTAAATAAATCCTAGAACATTCAGTTAGATTTGGACTGTTCTTCAAAACCTAACTGAACAGGAAGAGTGAACCTTCTCACCCGCCTTTTTTGGGCCAATCATCCTCGACATCACGCCTTTTAAATCTGTGCGCATTCTCCTTTTCGGACTCTTTTCGCGCAACCCACCTCCTCCCCATCTCCACCTCAGACAGAGCTCTATTCAAGCCTCAGTCTGCATCCTCAGCACCACTAGAGGTGTGTGTGTGGGGGGGTCTATCAAAGGGAATCATATTCAGTTCTTCCAAGTGAGCTCTACTTATTAAAAATGGGATACAAACCGATTTCCTGTTGACATTCTAAAAGCACAGCAGCAATAAAAGGGTTTAAAAGATTTGTCCTGTGGAATTTGTGCTTCTGTGCTGTTGTGTGAAATAGATTTCAATACAGAAGTCTTTGCACACGTCTCCTCCCTATATAATCCTTCTGATGCATACGGGATGCCATCAAAGAAGCTCTGCCCTTGTCTTTGAGGAATGTCACAGATCACTTTAATGCAGTGATTTTACTGAAAAGGTTTAAAATAACTGCAGTAAAAAACAGGCATGAAAGGTACTTTGAGGTTTCCAGTAAGTTCTTGTACAGTCTTACACTCACATATGAGCTTGGTTAGCCTACATGCAGGGAAGCTGACTAAGAACTGATAAGCTGTTACTAAGAACACTGGAGGTGTGAAGTGGATGTTCTCCTGCTGTGAAATGGGAGCTTGAGCGATATTACGTCTATGTGTCATGTGCTAATCATGAGATGAAGACCTGCTCTGCATTTGACGATGTAACGCAGAGAAGCAGAAGGGCATACTACACGTATGTAACTATATGTATTTCCATCTTATGCTACATTTTACTATATTTTGGATGCATTTGTAAAAGCTTAAATGGCCCGGGGCACATTGCAGCCCACTCTTTCCCTCATATTCAGAATATTTTGTATTGTCGGCATTTCTGGCTTCACACACACACACACACACATATATATGAATGAAAACATAAATGCTTTTCTAAATGTGTATTCATTTGCTTTTCTACTCTCTCACCCCAATTTGTTAAGAAATGATTCACTTCTGAACAAACTGCAGGCAAAGTTCTGAATCCAATTACTGTATTGTAATTTGCATTAAAAGGGATGAGAGCCATCAGGGGACCTATTCATCCAAAACAATTTGGTTTGTATTTGGAATTTTCACTAGGCCAATTACACACATGGAAGATTCAGCCGGCTTAAAACCACTGACCTTGGCAAATATTCTGAATTCCTGAGGTTCCCAAGACATCCTTGGATCCAAATGCTGCAGCGTTTGTTCATTTAATGCTACTTTAGCGAGCTTGAGGAGTATTTGCATCCTCATGCAGAGCGGAGTCGTGTTTGTCAAGAATGCTGAAAAACTAAATACAGACCAAGTGATAAAAAGGGCAAATTTATTTAAAGCACTTACATAGAAAAATATGATCGATTTGAGTCAACAATAATAAATAGAGCGCCTGACTATCCCCAGGCCCTGTCGGTACAACAGTACAATCAATATCCAGTTTCACAATACAGCAAAGGCACTAGCATTTACCACAATCAACAACACGGCAATAGAGGTGGTGTGGGTGGGAGTGGACAGGGAGCAGGGCTCTTCACGGCACCGTCTGGACTCGTCAAACGGCCGTCACATACACCGTCACTCGTGACCCACCTCCCATGTTTGCCGTATTTGCAGTGGAAATTACACGAGATCTGCTTGAAGTCTTTTCCGCTTGCCTTTCCCTCCCCTCTAAATGCAGGTAGAGATGAAAATTTGTAGAGAATGCTCAAAAACAAAACTACAGCGCGATGCTGCTACAAGCGATAACGCTGCACCTTGGTACTTGTTTTGCTCTCCTGCGCTACAGGGAAGGATGCAAACATCGTGATCAGCCTGCAGGCAGCTCCAACATAACGTTAAACACGGATGCTTCTGAGCATAACTGACCAAAGCGTTCAAATAACCAAAAACTAAACTAAACTGAAGCAGTAGGACTTATCCATCATGTCCAATGCTACATGTCATAACAACATGACAAATGTATTTCATCATACTTTACTGATTGGAAATGTTGGACAGAGCATCATTAAAAACAAACAGAAAATGAATAAAGTCCAACTGAAATAAATATCTTTCTGCAGCACACGGATCAGTTGTGGAAAGTTCAGGAGAAGCATTCTGGTTTGACGGCTGCATTCCAGTTTGCTGCTGTTGGATGTTTACAACTTGAACATGTAGCTGTCAACAGATTTACCGATTCGGACGCTCGCTGTATTCTTGTGATTTTAAAGAAAACCCATTTGTAACCAAGTTATTCAGTTTGATACACGTCAGATATTTTTGACTAGACTGGTTGTGCTCTTAGCTTGGTATCAAGATCTGAACTGGGTGCAGGGTTAGCGTCCCCACTGTAAAGACTAACAAACCACCGGCACAAGATGTCAGCACTGATTTCCACGTGATGACATCCTCAACCACACTTTAAGACTGAATGGACATCATCTTTTGAGAAAATCAGATTTCTTATAATCTTCCTTTTAAAATATTCAGTCACACTGTATTTAATTCTTGATGCTGCACTTTCACGGCTCTGTTACTTTTCTAAATGCATCTGAGCAAAGTGCAAATAAATGTGCATTGGTGGGAAAAAAACTAACCATCTTGACTTTATGAAGCCTCAACTGTCATGGTCTCCGTGCCTGCCGGCCGGCTCCGCATTGCTGCATGTGTTTGTTTTGTTTTCTCTCTCTCTCTGCCTGGGCGGAGCTCACTGTGGGCTCCCGCCCTTGGCCCACACACCTGACAACAATCAGCTGTCATCACCTGAAGCACTATTTGAGGCTGGAGCACAGATCTTCTCGTCGCTGGATGATTGTACTACAGACGTTAGTGATTCTCCCAGCTTATCTGCTTAGTATTTCGTGATTTGTGAGTGACTCCCTTTCCTCTACCACAGACTTTCCTTCCTGGACCTGTGACCTCCCTACCGTGTGAGCGTGTGTGAGTTTGGGCGAGAAGACGAGAGCGAGTGTGAGAGAGCTTCCCCGTGATTCCCTGGAGTTGGATGTTTTCCCTTCACTGTATATATCGTGCACCGGTGTTGTAAATAAACTGTTTTTGGAGACGTCAAACCGCTCTGCTCTTGAGTCCCTACTACCAGTTGTGACATCAACGTACTGAAGCTCTTTTGTGCCAGTAACAGATAAAACAAAACAAAAAAAGCCTTTTGTGTCAGACTTTGACCTGTAACTTTGTTTGGTGGATGTAAACAGCCTTACAAACAAATGTAACACCAAATATTGCTGGACAGGAAGTTTACTGTAATTGCGCTTGATATCCAGTGACCTCATGCTCCGATTTCACTACATCATTAATTCGTCTCCAGTCTCACAGGCCTGCAGGCTCGTCGGGTAAGGAGGAATAACTGGTTGGAGAATGCTTGGTGGTGGGTGACTGCTGTCCCTCAGTGACGTTAATCACAAAGAGTGCTGCACTGAAAACTACCCTGTTATTTCTTTGGTTGCTAGAAGATTGCCATGGTCACCTGTAGTTCATATGGAAGACTAGTCTGCAAACACTCACTAACTAATCGTGAAACTATCAGGTTTCTGGTTGACCTGAAACAGAGAACGTCAGGTGTCAGAGTACAAGTTGTGCATTTCATTGAAAAAATACAACTTTTACTTTGAAGTTTCTCGGGTTTGTGTCGCACTCCTGATAGTTTTACTATCACTCAGTGGTTAGTTAGGGAGCGTTTGCAACTTGGCATTTCACAACAACAACAAAAAAAAACTACGGGGGACCGCATTAACTAAAGCAATCACAAGGTTGTCAGTGCAGGATGTAGTTCTCCAACTGCACCACCCCTCACCAACGTTATTCCTGTGAGGTTTCCAGGTTTATTGACGGGTCTGAGTGACCGAGCCCGTCGCTGATATCATGTAACAGGCTATGACACAAAGTTGGGAACACTACACTACTTTTTTACTCTTTTCTTTTCTCTGTCAGTAAAAATTCAAGCACATCCTGTGTTCTGAGTTAGCCGGTCAGCTGTTTCATTTTAAATAGCTTCAAATCTCATGTAAAATTAGCTTGGAAAAATATTCAATTTGGCAAAGAGAAGAGGACACAGAAGCTTCTTTTTCCTGTTATAATTCAACGTCACCTCCTGATTAGAAGACTCGATCTGCATCAAAATAATCTGACAACAAACTGCAGAAATCCTTCAGATTCTAGTCTGCAGGTAAAGTTGGAATAACAAAAAACTGAACTTTGGCTGCAGAAACATTTCAGCTGGACTTTACAAAAACAGCAGCACAGTGGGTAAAACAGTACAGTAGATGGCACGTACAATCCAGTGATTCAGACACATTATAAATGTAATGGCACAAAAAAATAAGCTCCTGCCCGTCACCGTGCTCCTATTTCAAAGCCAATAGCTTCATCTCATCACTGACAATTATGTGTCGGTGTTGGTCGTGTGAGTTGGTCCCAATTGGTAATGACACATCTCATCAATAATTTTCTGTTTCCAAGGGAGGAATCATGGGAGAAAAATGTAGATTTTTCCAACATGAAAAGAACGTGTTGTGCAACTCTTTACATGCAAGACAGAAGCAAGCGTGACACTGAAGACGAGCTGTAAGCGTGTTGAAGACGTGCCCAGTGATGCAGCTGGATCGCTTGTTCCGTCTCTCTCTCTCTGTCTCACACACACACACACACACACACACACACACACACACACACACACACACAGCACATCCCTGAAGCCCACAGAAGAAACTTAAATCGTTTGACCAGGACACTATGGATTTCTTTATAAGAGGTCAGAAAATATAGAAAGAAAAAAAACTGATTCTTGTGTAAAGCCATAATCAAAACATTGTAAATGCAAATGCTCACTATCATTGGTTCAGATTTGCACTGAAGAAAAAAAAAGAAAAGAAAATATTAAATATCTTAGTAAATATCAGGAAAGTGATAAGGCTTAAATCTTTCTCCAGTTCGACGTGCCTCCCAAATATGATTCCTAATGTCGGAAGTTTTTCCCCCAGGTGCCAAATATCCAAATATCCGTGGAGATCGACTGGTTCACTGTGTGTCTGCTTGAAAAAAGCCCTGATTGTCAAAACAAATTGTAAGAATATGGTTGTTGTTTCCTCGCCTTAAAGCTAGTCCCATCAGTTTCCACTCTCATCTATTGTCCCCTTCGGCCGTGTCAGAGTCCCGCGTTACAAATCCGCAGCTGTGCTGTCCTGTTTTGGTTTTCGTCTCTGCGTCCGGTCCTCAGTCACTCCGAGTTGCAGTCGACTGGAGAATTAATGCACAGGAGCCCGGGGATGCTCAAAAGGGCTGTAAAGCTTATATCCACACTCGATACACTCCAAGCCCCTCCAGCGTCAGTACACGTCGGAGCTCGCAGGGCTGACAGAGCTGCTCTTAACAAGTCTACTTTCTAGATGTTTCTCTGGGCAGTGAGGTACTTGAGAGCTGCAGAGCCATACTTCCTGGACAGATCCTGGTGGAACTCATCCTTCAGGGTGTTCAGACAGTTGCGGTAGCTGGAGCTGGAGCGAAATTTAGAGATGTCGAAGCTGGGAGCGTGGGGCATGTGGATCATGAAAGCATTCGGCAGGACCATCAAGTCATACTCCTGAAAAGAAGAAAGAGATGATAAATGGAGAACAAATGCATTTTCAAATGGATTTCAGCCTCCACTCACAGTTTGGGTAAGTTTATCAAAACACGATGGGACGGGTTAAATACTCCCTTTAAGAATATTAATTTTATGCTACAGTCACGCGGGGGAAAAGCCAAAAATGATGACCAAAATTATCGTGAGTGTGTACACTGAACTTGCAATCTTTGGTTGCCCAGGTCTGCAACAGGAAGGTGATAAAATGGCAATAACCTGGAGTTCATCTGTTATCAGCTTGAAATTTAATGGGGACAGGCTGGCAATTACATGCAATCTCTTTGTGACAATATGGCAATTAACTGTGATCCATTGGTAAAAAATTGCAAATCTTTCCCATTACACAGAAATTCATATTAAATCTCAAACACACATTGCTCCACAATATGGTGAATGGATGTGGACAATGCTTCATTTTAGATTTAGGCTTCATACTGCATCATGGTTAGATGGCTGCTGGAACACAGTCATTTCCCAGCTTCTGGGATGCATAAACTGTACGTTATCTCCCACGAGGAGCATGGTTTTGGTTCTGCTGGAAGTCTTTTTCCTGTTAAAATATGGCGTTATTTTTGTGCCACTATTCTGAGCGCACGTAAAAAAAAGATTGCAGGTGCAAGTGTTGCATTTTGAGGAGAGATTTATTTTGAGCGAAGAAAAGCTAAATTTGAGTGAACAAAATTCATTGCTGCGTGCACACACACACATACACACACACACACACACACACACACACACACACACACACACACACACACACACACACACACACACACACACACACAATAGCAGCCCCTCTCGCTCAGTTTTGCATTTGCGCTCTCTCCCAATGTGTTGCTCGCGCTCTCAACATTTCTGCCCGTGCGCGCTCAGCTCTTTCTGTACACCGTTATATTTGTGCCACAAACCAGCCAATCACAGACTTGGATGCAAAAAAATTTGATTGGCTGTTCTGGTTTCCAATCAGCTCGAAATGGCGAAATGCAATATCCCAGAATGCATTTTGTCCCAAACTCAAACGAGGCAGTGGCGGAGGAACACAGAGTGGCGGAGTTTGAAATATTACTCTTTCTGGGTCACAAAATAAACTTTAAGATATTTTCATGCGAGAATGGTGCTGTGTAAACTTCAAATATCTGCTCGATTCATCAAGACATCACACATTTCCATAAGTGCTCTAACGTTTTCGGAGATGCCTGTTACCCACCAGCTGATCGCATAGCTGGACTGGCCACTGGGCATACCGGACATATGCCTGGTTGGCCGATGATGATTTTTCATTTTTATGTTTGTTTGTTTGTTTTTGTAACGGTATAAACAATGAAAGGTGGTGGATTAGCCAATTGGTCATGATCAACTCTAGGCTGGACCAATTATAATACATCCGTATTGAGGGGAAAGGGAACGCGATTCGTCCCGGACTTCAGCGAGAATGAAAAAAACACCAAAGCTGGAGTTATTCTGGCGTTACGCTGCGCAGCTGCCTCTTCTTCTCTCATTCTCCCCCCTCCCTCTTCTGTTGCTATTTCAATCATGAAACTGATCAATGATCAGCTGATCGTCTCTCTTGTTTGCTTATCACCCACTTCGCGCCAGAAACAGGGAACCAGCAGATGTCGCTCTAAACAACAGCACGTTCAAGCTTGATCAGCTGTTGTTAGAATTTATTTAATATTACTTTCTAGTATCAGCTGATGTTTGCTGGAGCCACAGCTGTAAAAGCTGCTGACCATGATATCGGTTTGGAAACATGAAGCTGATACAAATCATACATGTGTACATCACTGTCACAACATTGTTCGTTTTAGTTCAAAGGCTTTATGATTTATGGTGGTGTAGTCGGCCGAATTTTTGTCAGTTCAGCTTCATACATCATGTTTAACCCGAGTTCCCACCCGGTCAGCTGGTGGTTAACAGGCGTCTCCAAAAACGTTAGAGCACTTATGCATATATGTGATGTCTTGATGAATCGAGCAGAGATTTGAAGTTTACACAGCACCATTCTCGCATGAAAATATCTTAAAAGTTTATTTTGTGACCCAGAAAGAGTAATATTTCAAACTCCGCCACTCTGAGTTTGGGACGAAATGCATTCTGGGATATTGGATTTCGCCATTTTGAGCTGATTGGAGACCAGAACAACCAATCAGATATTTTTGCATCCAAGTCTGTGATTGGCTGGTTTGTGGCACAAATATAACGGTGTAGAGAAAGAGTTGAATGCGCACGGGCAGAAATGTTGAGAGCACGAGCAACACATTGCGAGTGAGCGCAAATGCAAAAACTGAGCGAGAGGGGCTGCTATTGTGTGTGTGTGTGTGTGTGTGTGTGTGTGTGTGTGTGTGTGTGTGTGTGTGTGTGGATAATAGCAAACACTGAAATACAGTTTTTGCACGCAGGAATGAATTTTGTTCACTCGAATTAAGCTTTTCTTCGCTCAAAATAAATTTCTCCTCAAAATGCAACACTTGCACCTGCAATTTTTTTTTACGTGTGCAGAATAGTGGCACAAAAATAACGCCATATTAAAAGAGACTTCCTCCTTCCCACTAAGGATCCTGCTCATAGGGGATCACTGCAGTACTCTCTGTAATTTGATTTTGATTTGATTTGATTTTGATTTTTATTGATTAGCATTCAAATATCTCAGTGAAAACAGAACAAAGATCTACCACAAAGCAAGAAAGCATGAGACAAGGCTAATCAAAAGGTATTGGCTGAAGTAATATAGTAGGACTGTTGCCTTATTTTAAAAAAAGCACATGAATGTTGCTATGAAGTTGCTCAATCATTACATTACACTAAAGGCATACAATAATTTATATGACACTGAGTAAAACAAGCATCTGAGATCCTACAGCCCAGCCAGACTCCCACATACTGACTGTGAGCTCATGTGACACACAGATTACAACTGCAATTAAATTTAATTACATTATACATTATGCATATGAGGCACAGACCAAAGACCATCAGCAAGAAGCTTGATGAGAAGGCGATTAATCAGAAATGGAAGAAATATAAAACGACCATTACTCTCCCCTATGTCTGGACCTCCACATGAGCTCTTGCATCATGGGGTGAAGATGATCATGAGAAAGATGTTGGACCACAGACAACAAGAACACCACACTGGACTGATATCTAGCAGCGCTTGCAAGGTCCTCCTGTTTAAGGAGGCACGTGACTTAGTTTTAAAAATCCAAATGATTCAGAAAAGGCTTGGGAGAGAGCTGTGTGGTCATATGAAACCAAAATCAAGCTCTTTAGCATCAACTCGATGTGCCACGTTTGGAGAAAGAGAAAGTCAAGCATAGAAACATTATACTTTTCTGCTAAGGACGGGACAACTTCACGGACATCTGAGTTGACAAGCGATCAGCGAGAAACACGAAAGAATTTACTTAAATCAGTTTATAACTGATTACTATCCCCCCACCCCACGCAGTCGTTCTTCCCCTGCCATCTTTGACTAGATTATTGTGTACATGAGCACGTTTACCTGTGCATCCAGCTCCATGATATGGGACACCTTGTTCCAGCCAAAGCCCACAAAGCGCTGGTCGTACTCAGGACATTCTCTTCTCACCACAACGTACGGCTCAAAGTCTGGCTCCCACTCCACCTTATAGGGCGTGGTGGCTGTTCGCCATTTGGCATAGTTGGTAGGTGCGTGACCCTTTGGCCACACATGATACCTGTGACAGGCAGGAAGAAGGAGACATTGCCAGTTAAATAATCCTCCAATCATCATCGACTGATCAGAAAAGTTCATTTTGGTTTGTAATTAGAAACCTGAAGGTGTAGAGAGTCCCCATGTCCAGCATGGAGAGCAGCTCGGCTTTGGATTTGGGGAAGGACAGACGGTAACGAAGGGTCTCGAAAGCTGGAACCACCAGAGCCTTCTTTGTGTGAGCCATGTCCATCTGCACCACAGACTTTCTGCAGCAGCAAACAGGAAGTGAGAGGCAGCTAAAGCAGCACGTATCTACCAACAGGGATGACTAAACCCTCGAAAACAGGATTGCAGTCTGAAAGTTCAAAGTAAGTAAAACTTCCAGAAATGCCATGAATAATATATAATGAATGATTTTTGGTTCTTGGTTAGGAAAACTACTCCAAAAGGATTTTATGCAGGACTCATGACTCACCTCTAATGCTGGGCTCAGACTACACAGCACTTTGTGATCAGTGCGTCTCCTATTAGGCGGATATAATCGAGTCAAAAACACTCGCAATGAATTGGCAAATAGACAGAAATCCTAGACCGAATCATGGCAGGAATATCCTGGTGAAAAGGAGGGAAACGTCATCTCTTCTTTGTCCAATAATAATTTTAAGGAGTGTTAAAATATGTCTACTCTTGTTTTCAGTTCATCTTGTGTAGCAGGAGAGCGTCCTCACTGAGGAGCAAACACCGTTTCCACTCGCAGCAATAAGGAAAATGAGTCAGCGCAGAACCAACGGATGTCACAGCGCAGCATTACAACCTCTAAGAACAGCGGAAAGTCAAGGTGTAGGCATCAGAGTTCATTACTCTATTTTATTTTAGTCAGTGGTAAGGTAAGGGTATCAGAAGTACAGTTATAACATCACATCTGTATGTAACACTCTTCAAAAAAACAAACAAAAAAAAAAACAAGCCATGAAAAGGTTTTTTTTACAACAGGACAGTTGGACTTACCTCAGGTAATCATAGAGACCGTACATTGGCAGGAAGTCCACGTCAGTCAGGAACACGTAGGGTGTGTTGGCATTCTTCAGGGCCACGTTCCTCACCAGGTTGACCGGGTAGAACTGGCCCTCCTTGTAGACAATGTGGTAACCCACGTTCTTGCGGTTCTTGAGGACCTCGGAGGCCTGGGCATAACGCAGGAACTGCTGAGCCTCAGCGTCAGACATGTAGAGAGCTAGGCTGATGGGGCCTTCCCAGTGCTTACAGATGGCTTCCAGCATCTGCAGCCTGTAGCAGGCACACACGGTCATTTCACACATTTTAAAGCACACAGATCCAAGCCAGGAGATGATTACAGTACACGGGTTCAGTACCTGTCCATGGAGAGCTGGGCCACCAGAGTGATGTCAGTGTTGTCCTCAGTGGGCGTGTAGTCATACTGCAGGAAATACAGGTGAACTCGGTGCACTGTCAGTCGCTCTCGACGGAAGTCGTAACACTGATCGTCCTCGTCCAGCTCCTCCAGAGCCTTTTGTAGCTGAGCAAAAGTACACACAGTTACAACATCCATCCATCCATTCGCTTCCGCTTATCCTTTTCAGGGTCGCGGGGGGCACTGGAGCCTATCCCAGCTGTCATGGGGCGAAAGGCAGGGTACACCCTGGACAGGTTGCCAGTCTGTCGCAGGGCCACAGTTACAACAATTAAATGTCATTTTCAATTTCCTTTATCTTCTAACCCAACGGTCCCCAACCCCCGAGCCACCGGCCGGTACCGGTCCGTGAGTCGTCTGTCATTAGAATAGAATAGAATAGAATAGAATAGAATAGAATTCCACTTTATTGTCATTGCACATGTCATAGGTACAGGGCAACGAAATGCAGTTTGCATCCATCCAGAAGTGCTTTAGCCATGATATAGATATATCTTCCTTCCTGTAGATGTCCTTTATGGCAGGAAGTGGTGCTCCGGCGATGCGCTGGGCAGTTTTCACGACCCTCTGCAACGCCTTCGGGTCCGAGGCAGAGCAGTTCCCGTACCAGACTGTTATACAGTTGGTCAGGATGCTCTCGATGGTGCAGCGATAGAAGTTCACCAGGATGTCTGAGGACAGGTGGTTCTTCCTCAGAGTCCTCAAGAAGAAGAGGCGCTGGTGAGCGTTCTTGACCAGCTTGGAGCAGTTGGTCGTCCAGATCAGATCCTCGGAGATGTGAACTCCCAGGAACTTGAAGCTGCTCACACGCTCCACAGCCGTCCCCTTAATGTAGGTGGGCGGATGTGGGTCAGCATTCCTCCTGTAGTCCACGATGAGCTCCTTGGTCTTCTCAGTGTTAAGCAGCAGGTTGTTTGTGTCACACCACTCACCCAGACGATCCACCTCCTCCCTGTAGGTCACCGTGGTGTCATCTGCAAACTTAATGATGGTGTTAGAACCACCGGCAGGTCTGCAGTCGTGGGTGAAGAGGGAGTAGAGGAAAGGGCTCATCACACAGCCTTGTGGTACACCGGTGTTCATTGTGATTGTAGATGAGCAGCGGTTATCCAGCCGGACATGTTGGGGGCGGTTGGTCAGGAAGTCCAGTAACCATTTGCACATGAGGGAACTGATTCCCAGGTCTGTCAGCTTCCTGATGAGTTGTGAGGGGTGGATTGTATTGAATGTTGAACTGAAGTCTATAAACAGCATTCTGGTGTAGGTGTTGTTGTTGTCCAGGTGTGAGAGGACAGAGTGCAGTGCGATGGAGACTGCATCCTCTGTGCTCCTGTTTCTGGCGGTATGCGAATTGGTGGGGGTCCAGGGTGGGGGGGAGACAGGATTTGAAGTGTGCTAGGACCAGCTGCTCTAAGCACTTAGTGATGATGGGGGTGAGTGCTACTGGGCGGTAGTCATTGAGGCTAGATGGGTTGGAGTTTTTGGGTATTGGGACGGTGGGCCAAAGACAGGTTGAATGTGTCTGTGAGCACTCCTGCAAGCTCCCCAGAACACGCTCTGAGAACACGCCCGGGGATGCCATCAGGACCTGCAGCCTTGTGGACATTGATCCTGTTCAGCACCGCTCCTACATCGGTGGAGGAGAGAGTCAGAGGTTGGTGGTCTGGCGTCATGTCTGCTTTGGTTGTGGTTGTTGGATTCCCTCGCTCAAAACGAGCATAAAGGTTGTTGAGCTCGTTGAGGAAAGAGACGTCAGAGGATGCGGGGGAGGGTTTGGTGGTCCTGTAGTCTGTGATGGTCTGGAGTCCTTGCCACATGCGTCGGGGGTTGGAGTTGGAGAAGTGTTCTTCTACCTTCTTTTTGTAATGGTGTTTGGCTTTTTTGATGCCCTTCTTTAGCTTAGCCCTGGCTGTACTGCAGGCGTGTGCATCTCCTGACCTAAAGGCGGTGTTGCGGGCCTTCAGGAGGAGACGAACATCCTGGTTCATCCAAGGCTTCTGGTTGGGGTACATGGTGATCCGTTTCTGGGTGGTGACACTGTCTGTGGTTTTGGAGATTAGGTGGAGCTCATGCACCAAGCGTTGTTAATATAAATGCACAAACCTCCACCTCTGGTCTTGCAGGAGTCATCTGCTAGCCTGTTGGCTCGGTGTGTGTGTTAAGGCTCGGGTGTGAAATTCATGGTTTTCAGGGTTTTTATCGTTATTTTTTTAATATTTTTTATCGTTAACTCGGTTTTCCTGGATCTTTTCCCGAGTGTTATGAATAAATCTTCTTTTTTGGTACTGGTTTTATTTTGTTGTATTTATACGCAACACCTTAAAGGCTGGTCTGTGAAAATATTGTCGGACATAAACCAGTGGCACAAAAAATATTTTCTGTCTCTGTCTGTCCTAGCTCTCTCTTTCTTCCCCAAACACCCTCCTTTATCAAAAAAACAAAACAAAAGATAAAAACATATTGCAAACAAGATTTGTCCTGCAGACTAATCTCATGGGAATCGACTGGAAAACGATACATGCACATGTGTTTAGCTGACAGGTAACATCATAAATATTTAACAAATAAACTTCACTACTACTACTACTAGATACTTTAGGCAACAGTGGAAACCACGACGCTGCCCCCGTACAATATTACTCAGCAAAGGCCACAAAGTGAAGTAGAGACAGATCAGCTGACCTCAGCTCGGCACAGCCCTGAACTGGACGAGCAGATAAGAAAACAGGTGGATGTTATTGTTTCCTGCCTGACACAGTCTGAGTGATGTTTGAAATATTTTCCCCCAATGTTAAATGATTACTCTCAGATGTTTGCTACTGTCACAAATATCGCCCGTGTGTGTGTGTGTGTGTGCGCCAACCTTGACGCTCTCTGGACTGGCCTGCGTCGGGCAGCCGAACAGTTCCCGTCTCAGCAGGTTTCCATCATACTCCAAGAAGGTCAGGTAGAGGTTCCTGAAGAACTCCACGTGTTTGTTTTTGACGCGGAGCTTCTTAGGAGAGTTCCAGTGGATCACCTGAAACCATAACAAATGGTAAATGGACTGTATTTGTATAGCGCTTTTCTAGTCCTTAAAGCGCTTTGGGGTAAGCGCTTTACACAACCAGTCATCCACCCATTCACACACTGGTGATGGCAGCTACATTGCAGCCACAGCCACCCTGGGGCGCACTGACAGAGGCGAGGCTGCCGGACACTGGCGCCGCCGGACCCTCTGACCACCACCAGTAGGCAACGGGTGAAGTGTCTTGCCCAAGGACACAACGACCAAGACTGTCTGAGCCAGGGCTCGAACCGGCAACCTTCCGATTACAAGGCGAACTCCCAACTCTTGAGCCACGATTGCAAGTTTCTGCTACTCAGCCTGACGGCAGCCTGTGGCAGTAAACGACAAACCTGATGGTGCGAGCTGGCGTACCTTGAGGTCAGACACCTCGGTGTAACACTGCTCGGAGCGCGTGTGATCAGACAGCTGAACGTTCCAGAAGCAGGGAAGCTGGTGCACCAGGACTGGGTTCTGCTTTATGAAGGCGTTGAATATGTCCTGCACACAGACAACACACCGCTTTATCAAGAGCCTCAATCCTTTTAACACTAGGATTACTTTGTAGACATGCATAGATCATCACAAACATCAGCAGCTCTGATGTAAACAGAATCAAATTTGTGAAAGCATGACTCATCGTGGCCTCAGGGTCTAATTCTGCAGCCCTGCTCTCCAAGACAACAAAAAAATAGTCTTTAAAAAATTCAATAAAGCTCAACAAACACAAGACTGTAAAACACCAACAGCTCGTCAGTGCCAGGATGATGCCACTGATGAGCTGTATACGTGGGCGCCGAGGCGACGGAGTCACAATCAAAGGAGTCCTCACCCAGAATCAGTTACAGTGAAGGCCACAGACTGATGACGGTGTGTAATGAGTTGACAATCCTGTTTGGAGGTATCCCTAACCTGATCAGCGAGTGATGTACTGAGCATGCTCATAAGTTCCCTCTCTGCCGTCAGCCTCCACATCTGCTCCCAACCGATTCGCCGCAGTCTCTCCAAGTACAGAAGAATGACGCCTGAAACCACGAAGCAGGACACTGGCTAACAATGTGACATTAACTTAAAACGTTCACTTTGGGCTAAACGTTCACTCTTCAAACACTGAGGTTCTTTGTGCTGTTAGGAATGAGACGACATCAGGTTCTGTGCTGTTTGAGGCAAACCTGCCAGCCTCAGAGATTCGATCAAAAACCCGTTTACCTGTGTTGAAGCCTCTTCCCAGCGCAGGCCACGGTTTGTGGTTTTTCCATAAGTTGCCCAAGTACCAGTCACTTTGATTCTCCACCAGACCAATCACCTGCTTATCTGTGAATGAAACAACCATCAGCTGAGGAGCAAAAATTTCAGGAAACATTCTTCTTTTTCAACAAGTTTTTCCCCTCAACAGTTCACAAACATAATAAACTTAAATGAGCGTCAGTGTTCACAGTAACCAACTGCTTTCATCATTCATTCAGCTAGTTTAAAAAAAAATTCTAATTTCTTATTTGATAACTGATATCGAGGCGTCACATACTAAACAGCAGCCACTCTGCTGGCAGCGTCTGCCCGCTAATGAATCTAAAACCCACAGATACATCCGTACGTCTGTGGTCTGCTTGAGGAGATTTTCAGTAACAGTAACTTATTGATGGTTTTCGATACGTGTGATGGTACACAGCAGTCCTAAAAATAAAAACAGCATTGATTTGAAATTTTCATAAACCCACAATTTATTCACAGTAGCACACAGAAAACAAAACTTTACATTGAGATATTTTATTATTTCATGAAAAAAAATAGCTCATTTTGAAATTGATGGCAACAAAAGAACATTTTGTAACTAATTAGGCTAATTGGCAACAGGTCTTTAACATGGCATAAAAAAGAGAAGCAGAGAGGTTCACAAATCTGTAAAAACTCTGTCTTCAAATTCTTTGTGGAACAATTTCAGAATAATGTTCCTCGATGGAAAATTGTGTCTAGAGTACATAATATCATCAAGCGATTGTGTGAATCTAAACATTCAGACACATTAACACTCCAATGGATAGATCAGAGAGCAACTTGGGCTAAGACGGGGATCGAACACCAACCTTCCAATTAGCAGATAACCTGCTCAACCTCCTGAGCTACAGCCACACCACATAGTCAACACATCCTCTGGACTAAAGAGGAAATCGGTCAGCTGGCTTGTTATCAGCACTCAGTTCAAAAGCCCAGATCTTCGATTGTAGGGCGGTGCATTAGTGTCTGTGGAACTGGCAGCTGTTGTTACAAAGAGACCGAATGCTACAGTGCGGTAAACATGTCCTGTTGCCATAAAAGTCAAAATGGCAAAACATTGCCTCATTTTAAATGTGGTATAGCGTGCCATGTAAATAAAATATGGCTTTATGACATTTGCAAATTGTTGGGTTCTGTCTTTATTTATATTTTACGCACCATTCCAAGTTTTGGAATTTCACAAATTTCTCATTTATAGTTTGACATTTCTGTGTGTCAGCACCGGCTGACTTTTTGGAGACTTTTTTTTTTTTTGTCAATGTCAGGTTTGAGGATCTCACCAGTAAACTTCCTAAAAATGCCCCAGAGTTCAGCGATGTCCGTAGCGAAGGTGATGTCTGTGTCCAGGACGATGACCTTCGACAGGTCGGAGGGCAAAGCTTTGGTTAGCGTCAGCTTCATCAAGCCGTAAATACCTGAGTAGTGTTTGTTGGGTATCCACGACACTTCGGACTGAAACGAGAAAAAAATGCAACAGTAACTCTTAAAGCTGTTACAGCCCTGAGCTGTTCATTATGTATGAGCGCAGTTCCAGTATGTGGGCTAAGACAAAGCCATATAAGGACATTCTGGCAAAGCCTCAATTTGTTGGGTTTTTTCCCTGTATCTGCTAAGAGACTCTTTTAATTAATTCTCCTGATTCTGAGTAATTGTATCTGCATAAGTGAATCATCTGCAAACATAATCGGCTTAGAGTCTTGGCTGTTTTTCCCTGTTTTAGTGTGAGGAAGCTGAAGAGAGAGGCTGCGGGTCGAGGCTTCTGACAGCACAAAGGACTCATTGTTTAGCACTAAGACTGTGAGGGAGAGGAGAATGTGATGATGTGACGGGGGTGATGCAGGTTGGAAACACAAACAAATTCAGGCTTGTTCCCTCCCCGCCACTCCAACAGAACAGTTATGATTTTAAAATAAATCGTTTGGCGTCTTTGTGCTCATGCGTCACTTGACTTTTCGAACTTAACAAGCAGTCGTTTCTGTCGAGTCAAAGCTCCTGTGGTGATTGTTGTCTTTAAACTTCGAGGAGGTGGATGAGCGGCTCAGAATCACCGAGCAGAAGTCTTAATTCAGTGACACTTAATTGGATGTTTTGACTGTTTTGTCCCATTCCCAGTCTAGATGGTCCCACACTGCTTGGACACCGATCCATGACTGACGGAGTTCCACGTTCCACATTCCATGGACGTCTTTACTGTCATCTGATATTTGGGGTTTTCTCTGTATTATTCTGCGGTTATCTTAAAATGTAACATGCCTTTGGGCAACTGTTGCTGTGGGGCAGTGGATCAGGCAGTTTATGTATCAATCCTGCAATTCATCCCAGGACTGAAGAGGGCAGCATACACCAATACAATTACATATACTCTTGTTCTACTCTATATCTGAAGGAGGCGGACGTCAACAAGCACTGGAAACACCACACATGCCAACGCAAAAAAGTATACGTGAAAGATCAAACATGTGAAAAACGCATGTTACCATTTCGAGACAGCAAATGTTTGCTAACATTATATAACTATATGAATGTGTTATATCAGGGCACCACTTTAAATACAATGATAACTCAACAATAACCTTACCTAGATCAAATGAGTGCATTTAACTTTATTTATACTTGGTTTCCTCACATACATCAACTTATCTGGCCTAAATATGGAACACTTGTACACCGCTGTCTGCAAGCACTTGTGAGACTCGTAATCTCTAATATCATGCAGCAAAATTTCTGCCACAACTTCACCTACTTCCAAGGTGCATGGAGAGGATGAGAAACTAACAAAGCATGAACTCCAGCAACACTTAAAAGTAAAGAGGAACAATTTTCTTAACTGACCAACGTGTGTCGGCTTGTGGCTTTCATCAGGGTCATAGAAACAGATAACACAATTTGTGCTTAAATAAAGGAAACAGAAAAAAATTCAAATTAACCAATCACATCTTCATAGGTAAGCCAGCTGACAGCAGTTAATTGGTTAAGTCACAGGCCAAGTAAATACTGGACTAGACCATTAACATAAAGGGGTGGGGGGCATAATCCCCACCTATCTTATCATGATATATCTGAGAAATACATAAAAAGAAAGAATGTTGAAATTATACAGAAAAATATTTATCCTTAGATTCATGAGAATGTTTGATGTGATTTCCAGTGTTTGTGTGACCGTGGCCAGTGAATTAACAGGTCAAGAATAATACAAGGAGAGCAATGACTCTGTCAGTATTCATGTTCAGGCTTGAGGCTCCGGTGTTATTAAAACCAGTGTTCCTGTAGCTGTGTGGTGTATGTGGCACAGGAAATCAACAAAAACTAAGATCTCTGACTACAGAGATGACATTTTCTGAATCTGTGCATCATAACACGTATAAAACTTTGAAGGTATAAAGTTTATCTTTAAATTGAATAAACCTAAGAGCTGCATGTTCAAAATAAACAACGTAGCATAACTTTAGTTATTACTTAACGTTTTTGGGCCGTAAGTCTGCATAACTTTTTAAAGTAAAGTCAAATTTTACAGTGTGTTGCATTGTGCCTTACCAGAAGGCTGGAAACCCCTCAGCACCAACATGAGTACAATCGAAGCTAAATGGGAGCTTGACCCTTTATCTCATCCTAAAGTAAGATCAGAGAGCTTTAACGATGTTCTGATCTCTGCTAAAGTGACAAATGATCTGACAAGCACATAGACACTAGCTGTGACCTCCTCTGTCAGACTCTTAGAGATGCATACTGTACCGTGCAGCTCTTATTCTGTCTCCCACTCTTTGATGCTCTGCAACTATTCTGGTAAAGATTTGGAAATATATTCAACGGTACCCTCACAACTTGCTGTTGCTTTGAACTGTGCAGGTTTTCTTTTGATGTGATAAATTTAGGGTCTGACTTTGACTCACCTTGTCTAACAGACAACAGGAAACAGGGCTGTGTTAATGTATTTGGATGAGGTTTGTGTACATTCAAGGCGTGCTCTTACCTTGAGCTCATCTGCATCGTAGAAGCTGACTTGCACAGATGGAACCATCCAGGACTGGAACAGAGAACTCAGGATTCGATTTGCTACTGTGTCAGTGATAAAATGAAAGTGAAGAGGATTTCTCCTGAAAAATAAAAAAAAGGCATCAAGGTCAAGGAGGTCCTTCCAGTAGGAGGAAAAAAATGTCAACACGTTCCACGGCAATGCAATACTGTAATCAGATTACATTTTTCAGTATGACAGTGATGTAACATGCTACGGTGATATGGGCATCTCTTTTATTTGTAGTGCACAAAAGCACATCAGTACAACGGTAAAGGGCAAACTGCATCTGGGACAGAAACAACTGCGTTTTACTGCTAACACAAAGGTAACCTGCTAACACAAAGCTAACCTGCTAAAACAATGCTAACAAGTTAACACAAAGCTAACGTGCTAACACAAAGCTAACACGGTAACACAAAGCTAATGCGCTAACACAAAGCTAACCTGTTAAAATAAAGCTAACATGCTAACACAAAGCTAACACGCTAATGTAAAGCTAGTGCGCTAACACAAAGGGAAGAGCTCAGAATAACATTAGAGCTAAGTGTATGCCAACCCCAAACCACACCTGTACATGTGTCTGTAGCAGAACCTCTTTGGCTATCACTTTGAAGTTTCTTTGGACTGGTGTTAAACTTTGCTTTTTGTTGTGGGTTTATTCTATTATGTAACGCCAGCAAAATGATCAAATGCGTGTCCTTGTTAGGATAGGATTTTGTGTCTGTGTGGGACTGTAGCCTGAGGTTTATATAGTATAATGAGTACTTAAGCAGGATACTGCATAAATTTAAAAAGAAGTAAGTAATCTGTAGTACATTTCTTCTCTTGAATAATAACCCCACACAGGGTCGCTGATAAAGCTGAATACTAGTAGTTATTCATGTTAGCTAAGGTTAGCCCTCTAAAAGCATCACCATCATTAGCCTTCTAAATTAGCAGCCCTCTGCCCATGGAGCTGCTATCTTCATCAACAAGCTCTACAGTTTGCCTGCTTTGAACAAAAGCTTGAAGCAAGAGTGCCTTTATGGGTCTTTATCTCGTTTTTGATTATCCAATTTCCCCACAAACATTTCTTTTTGTCCCTTATCACTTTTATTTAATATCCTTTTCTTTTTATTTGCCTTTAGCATGTTTGAAGAAGGCTTCACAAATACTTTAGCTTCTTCTTTCTCCTGTACAATCTCGTGTTAACTCTAAAGTCATGTATATCTGAGAATATCTAGGTAAAAGTGGGTTTGTATGTAAATCTATTACAAAAAGAAGAATTTTGTGACCCCCTTTGGAATGACCAGGATTTTTGTATGAATTACTCAAACAAATCTTCTTCCAAGTCACAACATAGACAAACATAGTATGACTAATAAATAAAATAAATAAACCTATTATGTATTGACTAATGACAAATCATTCACATTGCTGGTTCTTTAATGATTGCACATTGTGCTCTTGGTATGCTCTTCACAGACTGTCCATTTCTAAAGAGAGCAGAAAAAGTCATGCATTTTGACCATTTGTAAACACTTTGTCTTTTTGAACACAATTCTCTAAAAATGTGTTTGTAGCATTTTGTAGATTCCTATATCTTAGTAACACTTTTTCCAACTTCCTGTAAACATTGTAGTCACTGAGAATGGTAAAGAGTAGATTTGAAATGAAATTAGTTTGTCAGATTTACTTTAGTGTTTCTTAAAGGCTGGGGTAAGTTATGATTACATTACAGCTAAGTGACATTAGTTAGCATGATGAGATTATGTCAGTTTGAAAGTGGATTGCGTCCTCCTTGCAACTATGAAAAAATGGTGGCTGCAGGTTGTTGCATTGCATTTTTCCGTATTTGGTGACCTGCAAGTAGTTGCAGTGACCAGCTAGTACAGGTGTGAAACCTTCAACATCAAATGAGCCATTTTAGACCCTTCTACCAAACAATTGGGGGGGGGAGCAGCACACAGATGTGCTGGCGGACAGATGACAGATATAAGGGAATAAATCAGTGTTTTTATTACTAGCCCGTAGCCAGATACGGCTCTTCAGCCAAAGGTTGCTGACCTCTGACCTAGCGGGAAGCAACCTGTCTGAGCAATTGGAGACAGAACATTCAATTTCTAGCTTGTTTAGCTGATGTGACCAAGGCAAATGAAGGCTAAATGTTTGGTTGACAGAAATAATATTTTGATCAGCTGAGATAATTTAAGTATTGTACATCCCTTTTTGCTCATTTTTTAGCATCTGATTGCATCCATTTAATTAAACCAATGTAATATACTTTTAGATCCTTTCAGTAATAACCTTAAAATGTCTGTTAAAATATGACTCTTATGTGATCTAAACCATAACATTTTCACTTTGTCTGTTTCCTGTTTAAGCTGAATGAATCTAACTGGGAAATGGGACCACCTCAGCAGAGACTTTAGCCTGCAGCAACTACCAACCAATCAAACTGCTTGATTTAATTTCTACAGTGTAAAGGTCCATTGGCTCATTTTGTTTCAGTCTCTTCATTTTTTAAATAACTCTTTTTAGGGTGACCTTCAAAGAATACATTTTTGTTTACAGAAAACCTAAACTAGAGAACTGACACAAATTTAGACTCACCTGTGAAAGAGGACCGACTTGACCAGTGTGACCACATCTCTGCTGGCGTTATGACCGGCACAAACGCACGCTACATGGATCAGCTAAAGGAAAAAAGAAGAAGAAGCTCTGAGTTTTGGCAAAAGTCAGCCTGTAGCATGAATACTTCCCATTATGGGTGCTAACAGCTTCCATCACAAGCTCACAGCAGACTAGATGTGACTGCAGTTATAGATCTGCCCTATGTGCTAATTCACACACAGTGTCATCAGTCTTCTCCTAAAGTACTGAAGCTATATTGCTCTGCTGGTGCGTGTCACTCGCCCCCGTCTCTGATGTAAACTTTCATACTGAGATTCTCAAACATATATGATTTCACAACACTCGCTTTTCAGCAGGAGAGACTTTGAAAAGTTGGAGCTCAAAGGCAGCAAATCACATCAAAGAACAAAGTGTTCCCCTGGATTTCAGACCCTGCTAACCCACCTCTGCCTCACCCATTAATTAGTTTGAATGGACCACTGTGATTCGCTGAGCTTCTTGTTCAGGAAATTCTCTCCTGTTTGTGATTAGCCATCAGTGCAGCTCTTAGTGTGACAAACTAATGTGTGATCCCATCAGAAGTAGTACTTGTTAAAAAAAAATGAGAGATTTGTCACCGAAGTGAATTATGTGTAATGAGGTAGTTGCACCCCCCGGCCTCCAGGTGGCGCATTGCTCAGTGAGACAGAATAGCGAGGTCATAGGTCCTCCTCTCCAATTGACTATGTGCACGTTAGCATATGCTACTTCCGGTGCGGAAACTCCTGTGGGGAGCTTTGTTTCCGGTGTCCTATTCACGCCTTGTTTACCGTCCAAAATAAGTTAAGCAAATGAATGAATCAAGCGGCGATTTACATTTCTATAGATGTATTGGGTAAATGCCCAAGACATCTGTAAATGATGTTCATCGACTTGTCGATATTTTTCCCCTGCGCCTCAGAGCAAAAGAGAAAAGGGATTCAAATGTTATATATCTCAGCTGTCCCTCGTTTATCGCGGGTGTTATGTCCTAAAAATAGCCAGCGATAGGTGAAATCAAATAGCCAATTTTTTTTTTGACGGTGCAAAACGTTTCGTGGACATCGTGGACATACAGTACTGCACTTCAGAGTCACACTGCTAACGATCGATGCAGCGATTCTGTACTGTACAGGAGAGACGTCACGGAGGAGATCGTCTGCAGCGATCAGGACGCAGGACACAATGTGACGTAAAAAAAAAGCATGCAAACTTGCACTAAAAAATTCGCGAAACAGCGAGGTGAAAGGTGAACCGCGTTATAGCGAGGGACCACAGTAATTTTGAAGGTAAGTCACAACATACCCTTCGTAAATACTAATGTATAGAAACCGTTACCAGCAATCATTCATTTTTTGTGTGGCTTTTTTCATGGTTTGTTAACATGCTGTGTAGGTGTGTACTTGACTAGCTGATATCGACATAACGGGGAAACATCTGGTTTGACTATTGTTCACCTGTAGTTTGAATGCTGAACATTTGCCTGTTTAAATCACAAGACCAGTCACTATACAGAGATACTTCTGAATGTGGACGATGTGTCTTCTGCTGCAGTAATGCAGTTCTGCTTGTGTTGAGTGATGTAAACAACTGATCGATCTAAACCAGGGGTGCTCACACTTTTTCCGCATGTGAGCTACTTATAAAATGACCAAGTCAAAATGATCTACCCACTACAAAAATCCAAAACATATACTTATTTATAAATATATTGAGGATTCTTTATATCTACAATGTATATACATGCATAACCGCAATATCCAATATTTCACAACACAATTAACTATGTAAATTTTTTGTCATTACCTGAGTTTACTCTGATGACTTGCACTGAATTGAATCAGCCAGGGATGCATAGTCCGGACAGTAGCTGCTGATGGCCAGGTTTAAGAGAAAAACCGAGAGCTAAAAATTGGAGTTAACTCGCTGACTAGCTTGTCAGTTTTACTACACTTCGCGCCGCTGTTTGCGCATGCGCAGCGACCTAAGCGTCAGAAAAAATCTGCTGTCATCTGACTGGCTTCCCTGTATCAATCAAGTGACGGGATGGATGATAGGCTGGCATCTATTTTTTTAATGCCATGCGATCTACCAATACTACCTTTGCGATCGACTGGTCGATCGCGATCGACGTATTGAGCACCCCTGATCTAAACTCTTTAAACGTCAAAATTGATCATTAGATTTTTTATGACACAACAGTGGTGAGTGTTCCCACCTTCTGCTCTTTGTAACTTAACGCGATCTTTCCGTTTTCGAGTTTTGGACATGATTTTGGAGCATATCTTCGCAGTAGCGATTGACCGCAAAGTAAAGCTACCGGAAATGCACAACCCTACATCCAGTCTCAAACCAGGAAGTTAGCATTTTCTTGTGCACATAGTCAATATGGCAGAAGCAAGGCAAAGAGAAACTTCACCAGTCGCCTCTGTCTCATCATTTCCCTGTTTTGCAGGTTTGTAACCGGTAAAACTATATTAAAACAGTTGTAAAATATTAATAAGAAACACAGCTAAATGTGGGGGATAAATCAGTGGGTAAACCCTATTATTTGTTACTTTTTATGAAGTAGAAGGACTGGAAAAATGCCAAAGCCTAGCCAGCCGCGGGTGCCATTTTGGTTTCCTTTTTCCCCTTATTTCAGGTCGTTTTAGCTGAATAAGCTCCCTGTTGTGTCCTGATATTGTGAATATGAATGCTAATCTGCTGTTGGCAGTGAAGAACGACTGTTTACTGGTTCTGAAAAGTGATTTTGAGAATGTTAAAGCTAAAGCTAAGCCTGCCAGCATACACATGACTCTTTCATGTATTTGTGAGCTACTAAGCTGAATTGGTTTAAGACCAAGCACTGGTATGTTGGTTAAAACAATCAGAATACATAGGTATTTGGGACAAAAGTTAGAGGTAAAAATGTATTTGAACATGCATTTCATATTGTTTTGAATTGTCATTCAGAGAGAATAGCTGAGTAGATGATTTAATGGTCGCTACACATGAAGTATTTTTGTTTTCCATGTAAAGATTGTGGTATTGCAGCTTGAACATACAGACGGTTGTATTCTTATTTCTGTTGCATATGGAGAATGTTGGTGATGCAAATTGAAAATACATGTGATTGTATAAATAAATATGGCAGAAGCGAGGCAAAGAGAAACTTCACCAGTCGTCTCTGTCTCATCATTTCCCTGTTTTGCAGGAACATTTAATCTGTTTTACCGGCCCAAACTCTGGGTCGGTTACATTAGCAGAGTTTATCCTGACCTCACACTTCTGGACGGTGGGTGAGCGGGGACACCCCGTGTGGTTGTTCTTCTCCTCGGCCGTGTTGTCGCCATCCTCGGGCCCCGTGTCTGCAGACGCACCCCACTGCTGGTTGCCATAGTTACCATCCGCTGCCTGGCCAGCCATACCCTGCGATTGGCTGAGCTGCAGGCGGATCTGTCGGTTCTCCTCCTCCACCTCCCGAACCCGCGACTCGAGGACGGCCCGCTCTAGGACCTGGGCAGCTGGAGTATCCGCCAGGCAAGGAGTCAGGAGAAGGGAACGACCATCTAAGGAAGGAAAGTGAGGCACTGTCAGGCTGTCTCCAGGAAGCAAACAACATGTAACCTGTGCATTGCTTTTGCTCTGCAGTTAATAAAAAAGAACTCTTCTTTTTTTACTACAGCCTTAACAATTCAAAAACATTTGGCGCATGTCTTTTGGTTTGAAATCTCTGATAACTGTTTCATGTTCCAGCAGCAATTTTGGCCCATTTGAGGCTATTCTTAGCCTTTATTTCTAGAGCCTCAGTTTTTATTGTAGTTCTTATTCATCCAACACTTGTCTGCACCTCAGCAAACTTAACTTACTACTTAGTCGGTAGATGCATCTGTAGTCAGGTATCTAGTTCAGTTACACTGGTCCGATCTACCAGGGTCGGCTCATTACATCCATACAGCTCACTGTGGTTCCCATTGTACTGTAGCTTCTGGATCTCCACATGGTAGCTGTCTTCTACTGATATTATTGCACTGAGCTGCTAGGTGCTGCTGGTTTTCTACTCATTCACAGTTCAAACATGCGCTGCACATAAACTCCTTCACTGGGTTGGCTGGTAGTTAGAAAAATGTATTATAATATGCAACACTGTAAAGTAACTATAATTTTCAAATAATTGCAGTTGAGTAAAAAATGATTATTCTCCTGTGTTAGTTCGGTATGTTGAAGAACCACAATCCCTGCCAAAAAAGCAGTTCAGCCAGACACAGCTCCATTAAACACCAGATTAATTAGTACAGTTATAGCAAAGCTGCTAACGGGCTCTGTCGTCTTCTGCCCAAACTTCTGGAGACGACAATAGGAAGTGTAAAACCTGACCAGGACCTGTGGAGGTGACATCACAGGCAGCACACTCATGTTTGGCTTCATGCATGCTGAGAGTCTGAGAACGTCTCCTGCGGCTCACGCTTGAAAATTGGCTTCTCACACATTTGTTCGCTCCTCTTTCACCACCTTACTGCCTCCTCAATGTTCTGACAGACTCGGGTGTGAACATTCCCGCGGTGCTTCAGGGTGTGTGTGTGTGTTGTCTGTTCATTTTTTATATAGTCATTTCTCATTTTGCCAACAGCTTAAATATAATTTCAATGAAGCTGGAGAGAGTTAAGCTTCAATTCAAACTTCTTACAATGTGGAGAATTAAAAAAAACAAAACAACAACAACAAGTGTCTTCCAGACACTAATCCAAGGCACAATGTACATTTCAATTCCTTTAATTTTAAATATGTTTATATTGTCTATCCTGTAAAATAGTCAGATGTCTATTCATACTAATGTACAGAATTCACCTGCTTGCTGCTACTACTGCACATTCACCCAATGTGTGTGTGTATATATATATATATATATATATATATATATATATATATATATATATATATATACACACATACACACATATATACATATATATATAATGTTCTTCCTCTACACCCCCCCCCCCCCAATTTTTTTTTGCACATGTCGAGGAGCGTGTCAGGCTACATTTCACTGTGTGTTATACTTGTATAACTATGCATGCTGTGTTGGTCAAGTTACTTGAAAAAAGTAATCAGTAACTAATTACTGATTACTTCCCCAAAAAAGTAATCCCGTTACTTTACTGATTACTTATTTTCAAAAGTAATTAATTACTTAGTTACTTAGTTACTTTTTAAAAACCCGATTTACAACCTGAAGAGGTGATAAAGCGATAGATCTTTCAGCCCAATTCTACTTTTTCTACATGATCCATCATACAAAATGTAATCAAATGGAAAAGTCTCTTTTTAAAACTTGTTTTATCAGTTTTAACCTTTTAACTTTATGCATCAAGCAAAAATTTAATTATATGCAACATTCTCTGACTTGAATAAATTAGTTTAATATTTAAACCTATTTTCTGAACATTCCAGCACATAATTTTTTTTTTGTGTGTTTACACTCAGTCTTTCAAATAGATGCAAGTAAAACACAGCAGAAAATAAATAAAGTCAAAGACTAGCGGTCCTGTTGCTCTATTTTGACCTGTAAAGCAGGACTGAGGTAGGCGGAGGTTTACCCTGGTGCAGGTGTGCTGCGGTCAGTGGAAGAATCCGCGAGTTTCTCTGTGAATTTCCCATTACGTCATAGCGCACTCAGTGCTTGCTTGGAAGTTTAGGGTTTTTTTTCACTGTAAAAAGAAGTTTTCTTCCCACGCACGATGGACGCTAATGTTTTTGTCACTTTTTATGGAATCTCAAAGTAAGGTCAGTACTTCCACACTTTAAACGCTGCACGCTCATACTCTCTCCCACAATCGATATGTGATCCATTGTTGATCTGCACACAGCTGTTGTCACTAACGGCGCACTCGCTTACGTCACTGTCGTGAGACATTCTCGCAAAAAATCACGGTTTTAGTAACGCAGTAACGCAGCGTTCCTACGGGAAAGTAACGGTAATCTAATTACCGTTTTTGCAATAGTAATCCCTTACTTTACTCGTTACTTGAAAAAAGTAATCAGATTACAGTAACGCGTTACTTGTAACGCGTTACTGTAATCTGATTACTGCCCATCTCTGTATGCATGTGACAAATAAAGAACCTTGAACCTTGAATCAGTGAGATAAACTGCAATTCTTCTAATGGCCAGTAGGTGGTGAATTTTGTGGTTTTACAAAAAAGTCAGGTTATTATCGAAGTTTATGAGAAAACAGCCTTTGGCTCTGTTAATCAACGATCTCAGTAAACACTTTCCTTTTTTGAATTTTTGTTATGTTTACTTTGAAAATTGTGGCTCTCATTAGTCAAACAGGAGGATAAATCAGGGCCTACTTTAGGTCAGACAGCATGCCCCCAGGCACAGACTTGTAAAGGACCTCGCCCGTCCTACATGATGAGTCTCACAGGCTAAGAAACACAAAACACCAACATGCAGACGTGTTTTCCGTCTGTTTGCAGTTTCAACTCCATTTCTGGTCATTTGCATTTCCCCCCAGTTACACTGAACTTTAATAATCATTATCACTTCCGGCGCCCCCCGTGTGCGGCAGCCTGTTACAGCAGCTCTGCTCATTCTGAGTTTCTTTCTTTCTTATCTTTTTTCTCGTAATTTTTTTATAACTAACGTATTAGTAATTAGACTCTGCAACCATGTTCTACCGTTTTGTGCTAGTCCTGGTCGTTTTTCTCAGTTTATTTCTACTTTTTTCACCCGTGTCTGGGGACCCAGAGCAGAGATCCTTTGTTTACAGTAAGGATCAGCTGTTAGCGCTGAGTCCTGCAGCGGTACTGCCGGCGGACAGACCCGATATTCCCAGCGAGCTGAGGAGGAAAAGACGGGGGTGTCGTGCTGGGAAGGAGCGCCGTCGCCCGAGAAGGAGACGTTATCGACCATCTCTTCCTTCTGTAATTATTGGAAACGTAAGATCTTTGCCCAATAAGATGGATGAGCTCATGTCGCTAACCTGGTCACAGAGGGAGTACCGGCAATGTAGCATCATGATGCTAACGGAGTCGTGGCTAACATCGCTAACTCCGGACACAAGCGTGACACTACCGGGATTCCAGCTGCTGCGAGCGGACTGGACCAGAGACAGCGGTAAGAGGAAAGGAGGGGGACTGGCAGCTTTTGTGAACGACAGATGGTGTAACCCTGGGCACATCACTGTAAAAGAGCAACTCTGCAGCAGAGACATTGAGCTGTTAGCCGTTAGCATGCGTCCGTACTACCTGCCCCGGGAGTTCTCGCATGTTATCGCGATAACAGCGTATGTCCCCCCCTCGGCCAACGCGGATGCAGCCTGTGACTCTCTCCACTCTGTGGTCAGCAGACTGCAAACACAATCACCGAGAGACCTTCTCATAATATCAGGGGACTTCAATCATGCCTCACTGGACTCCACACTGCCCACCTTCACCCAGTATGTGACCTGCCCAACCAGAGTCAATAAAACACTGGACTTACTGTATGCCAATGCAGAAGAGGCATACAGTTCATCACCTCTCCCTCCCCTGGGCAGATCTGATCACAACCTGGTGCACCTTGTCCCTGTGTATGAGCCCTTGGTGCGCAGGGAGCCACCAGCCACCCGCACAGTACAGAGATGGTCAGAGGAGAGCGAGGAGGCTCTTAAGGATTGTTTTGAGTCGACTGTGTGGGAGGTGATTTGTGATGACCACGGTGAGGACATCGACAGCCTTACTACATGCATTACTGACTATATAAACTTCTGTGTGGATAACACTGTACCTACCAGGACTGTACGGTGTTTCTCCAACAACAAACCTTGGATTACCCCAGAAATTAAAACCGTCCTCAAGCAGAAGAGGAGGGCCTTCAAATCCAGAGACAAAGAGGAGTTGAAAAGGGTGCAGAGAGAGCTGAGGGGACTGATAAGGAATGGGAAGGAGAGCTACAGGCAGAAGATGGAGAACCAGCTTCAACAAAACAACGTTGGTGAAGTCTGGAAAGGCCTCAGAACCATCTCGGGCCACAAACAGCAGAACTCTCTGCCTGGGAGGGATGTGAGATGGGCAAATGAACTGAATCATTTCTTCAACAGATTTGACTCAGCCATGAGGCAGTCTGCAACATCGGCTGCAGACTCACCCACCCCCACTGCTGCTGTTCCACCTCAGACACTTCACACCTCCTCTATTCACCCTGCTCACTCCCCCCCACCCTCAACAACAGCATCCAATACACACTCAACACAAGGCTCCAGCCTGTCTCTCTCAACCACCCAGGTTAAGAGGGAACTGAGGAGGATTAATGGCAAGAAGGCAGCGGGTCCAGATGGCATCAGCTCGAGGGTCGTCAGGTCCTGCGCGGACCAACTGTGTGGGGTGATGGAGCACCTCTTCAACCTGAGCCTGAGGTTGGGAAGAGTCCCACAGCTCTGGAAAACCTCCTGTGTTGTACCAGTGCCAAAGACTTCACGCCCCAAGGACCTCAACAGCTACAGGCCGGTGGCTCTGACATCCCACCTGATGAAGACCCTGGAGCGGTTGGTCCTGGCTCAGCTTCGGCGCCTAATAAGCTCATCACTGGACCCACTTCAGTTTGCCTACCAGCCTGGCATTGGAGCGGATGATGCCGTCATTCACCTCCTACATCGTTCCCTCGCTCACCTGGAGACCGCTGGAAGCACTGTGAGAATCATGTTCTTTGATTTCTCCAGTGCCTTCAACACCATTCTTCCCTCGGTTCTAAAGGACAAGCTGGTGAACTCTGGAGTGGACCATCACCTCACTACCTGGATCCTGGACTACCTCACCGACCGACCACAGTATGTGAGGACTCAGGGCTGTGTGTCGGACAGGGTCGTCTGCAGTACGGGGGCCCCACAGGGAACGGTTCTGGCTCCGTTCCTCTTCACCATCTACACTGCAGACTTCTCCCACAATTCCACCCAGTGCTTCCTGCAGAAGTTCTCTGATGACTCTGCAATAGTCGGCCTCATCACTGATGGGGACGACAAGGAGTACAGAGGTCTGACCCAAGACTTTATGGACTGGTGCCAGCTGAACTACCTCCAGATCAACGCCAGTAAAACCAAGGAACTGGTGGTAGACTTCTGCAGGCACAAGCATTCTCCACTGCAACCACTGAACATCCAAGGTATGGACATTGAGGCTGTGGACAGCTACAGGTACCTTGGTGTTCATCTGAACAATAGACTGGACTGGACTCATAACTCAGACGCCCTCTACAGGAAAGGGCAGAGCAGGCTGTACCTGCTGCGGAGACTCAGGTCGTTTGGAGTGGAGGGCCCACTCCTGAAGAAATTCTATGACTCTGTTGTGGCTTCTGCTATCTTTTATGGCGTGGTCTGCTGGGGTGGCAGCATCTCTGCTGGGGACAGGAAGAGACTGAACAGGGTGATCCGAAGGGCCAGCTCTGTTCTAGGATGCCCTCTGGACCCAGTGGAGGTGGTGAGTGACAGGAGAACGGCGGCTAAGCTGTCATCCCTGTTGGACAACATCTCCCACCCCATGCAGCAGACTGTGACAGCACTGAGCAGCTCCTTCAGTGGGAGACTGCGGCACCCACGGTATGGGACGGAGAGATTTCGCAGGTCTTTCCTCCCCACTGCTGTCAGACTCCATAATAAAGACTTTAACTGATCAAGCACACACATCCATACATATGCAATAATACTAAGTGCAATAATCCTTTCTGTCATCGTTGTATTTTTACTCAGTTGTATATAGTATTTGTATTTGTATTCTATTTTTATCTTATTGTATATTTATTTTATTTTATTCTACTGTATATAGTATTTTATTTTATTCTATTCTGTACAGTTGTGTACTGTATTTATTCTTATTGTATTCTAATTTTTGCCTCATAACTTTTGCACTGTCCACTTCCTGCTGTGACAAAACAAATTTCCCAAGTGTGGGACTAATAAAGGTTATCTTATCTTATCTTATCTTATCTTATCTTAATAATGGACACTCTTCTCTCTGTTTGCAAACACACTGTATCAGCTGGTGCTCATTTTGCTTCTCCTTCTACTTCTTTAGCTGCTCTTTATGTTCAGTCACCTTGAGTCTGATAGTTTTAAATCTCTTTATGAGAGTTAATTAGTACTTGAAACTCAGGCTCATGGGCCCCCGGGCCAATGTCAAGTAGGTCCTTTCACATATCCTTCCACATTATAAGTGGGACTACTTTGTAATGCACAAGTTGATAACTGATGAGCATGCAGGGCCCTTCTCATGTCTGATTTCAAACCAGCAGGACAGCGACCTCACACTCTGACCTCACTAATAAATGGGTGCTGTAATGTTTCCTGTAACCTGATTATATGCATATATATATAATAATAGCCATTTCTCTCCATTCCAGCAGCATCATGACAGAAATATTAAATGTAGAAGAACAAAAGATTACACACACAGGCTGGAGTTTGAGTTTTCACTCAGTCCTACATTCACTGCCACGCTGACCCAAATACTCACTTGAGCACCAAATGTCTGCTACTGGAAATTATCCAACAAACGCACCATTTCCTTCAATGTCAGCAACATTTGACAAAAATGATGTTGGACGATGTCCAGCCAATTCGTCGTCCTGCCTCCATCTAACTTCCATTCTCTTCTTCTCTCACTGGTTTTCTTTTGACTTTGTCCACCATGTTTTTCTTCATCTATACTTATCTCTATTCGTCTTCACATCTTTCTCCTTTTTCTACATGTTAGTCTCTCTGATGTCTTCCTCCTCTTCTTATGTAAGCATAAGCAATTGCATCTTTCTCCCACCGTGCCCTGCTCATCATTTCCCTCTCCCTCTATATTTACCCCTCAGTTCTCCTTTGTGATTGAGTTCTCTCACTTCGTTTTTTTAAAACTCTTTCTCCCATCTTGGTATTCTCTTCTTCTACATTGTGCTCCTTTTCCCTCCCTTCCTATCTGTAACCCCACGGAGCAGCAGCTGGCCCACAGCTGAACAGAGGCATGATGGGAATGTTTACACCCATATCTAATGGCTGAGAGACAAGAAGGAATTGGACTCTTTCAAAATCCTCTTTCTGATTATTTATCTGATCCTCTGTTGTCCATGCTTGTTCCCATTGTTTGTCCTTGTCTCCATATACATGGGCTGTAAATAATGTCTCTGTATGTTGTTATTAACTTGTGTGTAACATCAACCTGTCAGAGGGTCTGCAGATGGAAATTAGCCTGAGGCTATAATCTGGCATATTTACATTTGTTAAAATGTTCATTCATATGTATTGTCCCTCTTTCTAATAAAAAAGGAAATAACAAAATGAATTATTTGATAATGCGGTAAAGTCCAACTATTTGGACAATAACAACTTTTCCCCCTGTGCACCTTTGTGTTTATTTTCTTCCACTGTTATTTGACTTCAATAGGAATTTAAGCAACATTTCAATCCAACAAGAAGTCGTTCTATAATCCAGCTTCAGTGCTAGTGCAAACAGTGGCTTTCTGCGCTCATCTTTATACACAATCCATGATTAAGAAGCAGCATTTTAATAATGTAGCTGTATGCGTATGAAGCTCTCAATGGGCTTTATGTTAAGGATCCTACTACTGTGTTACAGACAGAACCCGAATGGTTCTCACTGAGAATCAGCAGAGACTTGGTGACAGGGGAGAGGAAGAACTTCCTTTTACTTGGATTACTGGTCTCAGAGAGGATCAGTCATTTCCTGTGACTGGGTGAGGAAGGCCAGGGTGCGTGTACTCACTACAAAGAATACTGTAGGTAGAGAGGAAACCCTTAGCTGACAGGACAGATGGAGGAACCAGAATCCGATTCGCAGTCAGTCAGCAGAAAGAAAAAAGGGAAACGCTGGTTATTTCTGTGGTAATGTGCTCCAGGAGCCCACTCCATCACTTTGAACACTCACAGCTAAAGTGGATCCACTGAACAGAGACAACTCATCAGTCATCCATGTTGGAGTGCTCGAGCAACGTGGAAGCCTCACCAAAAAGGAATCCTATTTTCCTGCTCTGCGTGCCCTCCGAGAATCACTGCCACGTAAAACATACACCGAATATGGAAATGTGTGTCTGTGTGTGTCTGTGTCTGTACGTGTGTGTGTGTGTACGTGTGTGTGAAAAACACTGAGGAGTAAACCTGCATCCTCCTTCCCATCAACGCTGACACCAGTGTCACGTGTCACTCTTAGATGAGCACACTGGACACTTTTCTGTAAAATCAATCTTTGAGCCTCATAGGTTTGGCCTCGCTTCTTTATCGCTTCCAACATGGTATGAATGTGAATGCAGTCACACTGACGCAGCACGATTTGACTTGATTTTTTTAACCTGTAAAAACAGCCCAGCACACAGATATATCACCTGCTGCTCTAAGGGTTAACATAAAATCGAGTTGTTCCAAGTGACATTAATTGTTAAGGAATCACTGATCAAGGTTTGAGGTGTTTGGATCAAAACAGAAATAATACAAATCCTGAGCAAGTTCTTGACTCCGTGTGATGGTTTGAGGGCGCTTTGGTGGTCTGACAGTGGGAGACTGGGAGACACATCAAGAACAGAAGAGGTGCCAGAAGACCTTATCGGTGTCTTTATTATATTTATGTGAAACTTCTAAGCCTTGTGAGGATCTAAGCATGTAGATAATATTTCAATACATAAAACTATTTAGTCCTTTGGCACTAAATGCTGGCCCTGGATATAAATTGTTAAAAGGACAATCATTAGATATGCATCCTCAGTTTTAATGAGATTAAAGCCAAGGCTGCTTACCTATATCAACAAAGTCTGTGGCAAAAACCCCCACAACTGGTACAATGTTTCCCAAATCAGTTCATTATAGTTTGATCCAGCACTACATTACAGATCAGAGGACTGCTGACATGATCCACAGAAAATGTAAGTTCATACAAGTGTCAAGGTTGAATTCAAAATAATTAAAAAGCAATTAATCCTGAAGCTGCACTGGCAGAGATACTGTGCCTCTAACATGTGACTTCCTGTGTTAGTATGTGTGTTATTAAAGCTTCTCGAGGAGACACCACGCAAAAACGTCTCTCTGAATGAAAAAGCAAACTAAACAGAAAACTGCCTCCATGCGTTTAAAAATGTAACTTCATAGTCAGACTGAAAGGAAACTGAGCCGAGCTGCAAAATGCATCTGATAATTTATGTGTTGCTGTCGCTGGTAGGATTCCTGCGACGCCGTCTGACCCAGACCGCAAGCCAGCGTCTATGAAAATTACACTGTGTGGATTCTCAGTTTGGACCGTGTAATGATCAATGCTTGGCAGAACTCACGTTGAGTGATTTTGTTGCGCGCACATCCTGAAATCTCTTCATACTCACTTTCCAGGTTTCCAGCCAGAAGGTAGAGCCAGGTGAGCAGGACGATGGCTGTGAGTGACGCCGCCAGCAGCTTTAGGCGCCCGCGGCAAAGAAGGTTCATGATGGGACAGCGGCACTGAGGGCTCTGAGGGTCAGGGGTCGGGAAGAGGACGAGGGGAGGGGCGGGGTGGGGGTTATCAGGTGGGGCTCAGTCCCTCGGCAGGTCTCTGCAGCATCCTTTCATCTGAGTAGAGAAGAACACAGAGTCAAAACAGGACACTTAGAACAGAGCCATCAGAGTTCAAGTCGTTACTGAAGAAAAATTTCAATTTAACCAACAAATACTGAGTTCACAAGATTTCAATGTGGAAAACTGACACATGTCCAGTTTTCCAAGCTCGTTTTGTTTCAAGGACGTCTAAAAACCAAGAACAATTTCTCTTCATTCCAGCTGATTGGGTCTCATCCCAAAGCAGTCTGCAGATTTCTTATGAGTGATTCATTACTATCTGAGTTAGAAAGCTTACGGTTCTAAGAAGTCTGGACCCAATCTGTAAGAGATCTGAACCACAGAAGAAGACACAATCACACGGTCCGAAAGTACCAGAGGACAGCCAGACCTCATCCAAGAGTCCTCACAGATGGACCAAAATCACCAAACCAAACCCAGGCCGACACTCACAGCCTGTTACACTCATAATGATATTTGCTTTCGACCTCGATTATTGCACCTCTGTCTTACAGAGACACAATTTTACAAAACCAAGAGACAACTTTTAAAATCTGGCTCTTCATCACACAAACATTTACAAATACAACACTGACGCTTGAGGAAAAGTGCTGCTGGATACACTCGCTAACGCTGCCATGTGTGACACTCCTGTCGCTGGTCCACAACCTTCAAGGAGAATGTATAACATCACAAAGTAACCACCTCCTGTGACCAGTTTTATTCACTTTTGTTACTAAATCAATATCCATCCATCCATCCATTCGCTTCCGCTTATCCTTTTCAGGGTCGCGGGGGGCGCTGGAGCCTATCCCAGCTGTCATAGGGCGAGAGGCAGGGTACACCCTGGACAGGTCGCCAGTCTGTCGCAGGGCCAACACACAGGGACAGACAACCATTCGCACTCACATTCACACCTAATGGCAATTTGGATTTTCCAATTAACCTATCCCCACAAGCTGCATGTCTTTGGACAGTGGGAGGAAGCCGGAGTACCCGGAGAGAACCCACACAAACACGGGGAGAACATGCAAACTCCACACAGAAAGACCCCGGCCTGATGGTGGAATTGAACTCAGGACCTTCTTGCTATGCGGCAACAGTGCTAACCACCGTGCCACCGTGCAGCCACTAAATCAATATATTTATATAATATGTAACTGTACGTACTTGTAATTGAATTTCTGTCATGACTGCAGCACCTTCATGGCCCACACTTTGTCCCTGACTGAAGGTGATATTTAGTCTAAACAGTGAGTGACTCTGGACCTTCAGAGATAAAATAAGGAGTCTGATTAAAATGCAAAACAAAATGAGTTTCTTACAGATAAGGAAAGAAACAAAGCCATTTTATCCCAGCTAGACTGGGTTATAACTGTCTAGGGGTTTTTTCGGTGCTGAGACACAGAAATGGAAATCCTCGTCCAAAGTCTTTGACTTCAACTCAAATGTAACACGTAGAGCCTGAAAATGTGCCTGGTTAGCTCACCAATGAATAGCTGGTGAGCTGGTGGATGGTAAAAGATTGATGCCCTATTGTGATTCATCACTACCATTTTTTCAGCCTTTATCTTCACAGTTTTGGCACATCTCTGTTCATTGTATCATCGAGTTGCTGCTCTTGGCTGGCATGCTCATGCCTGTCTGCCTCAAGGTTGGGCATCCTGTTAATCTGAGCTGCTTTTCAGCTCAGCACAGCTGTGGAGACTTAGTGAGCTACTGTAGCCTTTCAGCTCCAGCACGTCTGATCGCTCTCTGACCTCTCATCACCAGGACATTTCTTTCTGCCACACACCGAACGTTTTTCACATCATTCTCGGTAAAGAGCCTGATGTGGTGAAAATTCAGGACGTCAGCAACAGAAATACTCAAACCAAAAAGCAAAGATGAAACCACTGCTTGGATGTGAACACGAGGCTCCTGAGCTGCATCTGCAGAACTTCATGGATTAGCTGACTATATAATTACAGGCAGACGCATTAGAGTCGATGTTTTAAAAGCATTCAGCTTGAGGTTTGGAGTCACCGTGCAGAGCTCACATGACTGTTTCAGTCGATGAAGCTGAACTGAACTGAAAGAAGGAGAAAGAGTCACTTTGCTCCATACACACAGAAAACTTGAAAAGGGGGAAAGTCCCATACAAGTTTCAGTTTAGCTCTCCATGTTTGTCAGTCCAGCTCTGTCTGTGCTGGCCTCCCTCCCTCTATGTGAGCCTGATTAGAGCGGGAGGTCTGTCTTTGTTTAACAACGTGATTCATTAATCCCTCTTTAATTAGACACAAGCCCGGAGAGGAGAGAGGGCTGCCAGTGGGAAACAGTATGGAAGCAAGCTCATAGCAGAAAGAAGGTAACTTTGTGCTGGAGGCTGCAGCTCACGTGGAAGAAAAATCTTCAAGAATATTTCTGCGTTTAATAACTAGGAGCTAAATTTACATTTTAAAAGCATTACTGAAGCGCTTAAACACCCGCTGACTTTGTTCCTTGGCCCGTTTAAACACAGGCTTGTGCGGCCATTAAACTGTCAGTCATTTGTAGTCCCCCATTTTCAGCCTCTAAAAAACGGGGACTACATATAAAAAGGGCTATAATTCCTCAACAGGTAATGCAGTGCTTTTATTAAACCCCTGCAATTAACGCCGAAAGCCGGTGGTGGAGTAAAAAGGCAACAAATTAGCATCGTCCAAATACTTACGCACTGCAGTGCAGCCATGATTTCTAGTGATGTTTCCTTGTTATACGTCATACACAGCAGATTCACAGGTAATATTTTATGTGTAAAAGTCTAAAAATTATGTTTAAAAACAAACAAACATCCAAATATTCAGTTTGAAATTTTAAATCTGTCTGAAACGAGGCCTTATTTAAGGAAATAAGTTGAAAAAAAATCTTATTCTGTAACATCTCTGGTGCCACTGATGTGTGGTGTAAGCTGGTGAATGTGGAAGTGCAGCCCATTTAACACGTGACTGTATTCTCATGTATTCGTCCTTTATGTTGTTTTGTGGGCAATATGCATTTAATCTAAATCCTGACACACCATGACTGTAACCTGCCAAGTGATTGTTACCTAAAAACCTTAATATATTTTTTGCAGGAAGTCTTTTGATCCTCTTTTCATTCATTTGCAAAGTTTTAATTACCCAAAAAGCAAAACCTCTGGTACTACATGAAGTACTGCTGACACACTTCTGATAAACTTAAGTATTTTTTGTCATCCAAACATGCAAATATGTAAAACTTGTCTGCAAGAAATATCCCCACGTATCAGCTGCACACACATCATTTTTCAGAATGTTTAATAAAAGTGTTTTCAGTCTTTAGCGGGGAAACCCATGTGACCACGTGATATGATAGAAAGCTCCAGAGCAGCTGCCAGACAGACTTAATGTTTTTTGTTTTGTTAAATCAACTATGTCTAGCATCAGGAATTAACTTTTGTTCTTCTTCCTGCCATTTTTGTGTCACATCTGTGTCTAAGAAGGTAATCAATTCCCAACAACAGGAGTGGCACCAAGGTGGGGCCAAAGGGGGGCACTGCCCCTACGCCCCACCCCACAACTTAAAAATGTTGAAGTGTTCCCTTAATTTTTTTTTAGCAGTATATGTAGTTGGTAACTGTAACAGCAGCCTAACACGATGCATGAGCTAACTTAGCAACCACAGCTTTTTTAAATTAAAAAACAAACAAACACAAATGTGTGGTGCTCAGTGCTGCTGTGGGGTCAACAAGGCTGTCAGAGCAATAACTCTTGGGTGTTACTGTGAATGTTAGCAGGATATCATGCCTAACATAGTTTCCTCTTCCTTGCTAATTGTCCACTCCACCCACATTACCATCACCTGTTTGACTCAAATGTTACAGGATTCCAACAAATCACTTTACCAGCAAATCGACTGTTTAATAATGGAGCTGAGCTCTGTCAGGTGTTTGAGCTGAATTGAAATGTTGATTCAGTTTTTACCACACGTTATTCCCACGAAACCTAGAAGGAGAAACACTGAGAAATTTACAACGACTTAAACCACAAAAAAACCCAAACTGTTATTTGTGGTTCAGACCCACATGGTTTAAAGTGATGCATTATTAAAACCACAACAATTATCTGCTGTAAAAGTGGATCACACTGCGTGCTGAAAGGCTCTCCAACACTCTGCCAGACATTTCAACTTTCCAACTACATAGAGATGATTTATGAGTTAATTAGTGAGGCTGATGTATGCGCTCTATGTCGTTAAGAGCAATGAAAGGTGCTGAGACAGGAAGAGAGGAGGAGGAGGAGAGCTGAGATGGAGAGCAGGGAGAGTAAAGATTAAGAAGAGGGGAGAAGGAAGAGAAGTGTGGTGGGGGGAAGAGAAAGAGAATGAGAGAGGCAAGCAAAAGAACAGGGAAAGAGATAAAGAGGGAAGAAGTTTGAAAGATAAGGAAATGGGAGTGGGAACAAACAAGAAAAGAAAGAAGGGACAGGTAAAGAAAAAAGGAAGAGAAATGAGGAAGAAAAACAGGAGAAAATGTGAGGAAGAATATATAAAAAGAGAAGGGAAAGGTCAAGACAGGAAAAAGGAAAGGAAAAAGAAGATAGGAAGAAAGGAATGAGGAAAAGAAGGGAAGCAGAGAGGTTAAAAGGGCATAGGAAGCAGAGGAAAAGTACTAGGGAATGAGATAAACAATGAAAAAGAAATGAAAAGAAGATTAAGGAGGTGTATAAAACAACGATCAAAGGGAAACAGAAAAAAAGAGGAGCAGAGGTAATTGGAGGTAAAGAATGAAATGAAAAGGAAGAGGCAAGGTAGCCATAGTACGTAGAAGATTACCAGATTCAGAGAAAAGCAAAAAAAGCAAAAAGGAGAGGAAGTAAATGAGGTGGAGGCTGAGCTATAGGTCGTGGCAGTGTACTGGACACTCCGCCTCTAACAGCCATAAACTCAGAGAGGAAATAAAAGTGAGGGGCAGTGCCACTAAAGAGGTGTTTAATAGGCAGCTTTTGTTGATTCTGCAGGAGCTGCACAAAACGTTT